TATATAACTTATGTATCACATATAACAAGTTAGTTGTCCCTTATTGTATTAGCTATGATCAGTTAACTGATGAACTCTATGGATCTTTCTCCAATGTCAGCATGTCTGAAAAGGAAAAATGAATGGATGGAGGAATTGATTGATTAATTCATTCATTTATTCAGTTTAGTGAATATATGTTGAGCCAGATAAGGTGAAAATTCTTTACTTTATAGAGCTTAGAGTCTGAAGGGGAAATAAAACTAAATGAAAGTAAAATAATGATTTCAGTAATTTATATAACAAATTATAATTGATAATGTTATAATTTATTTTATTGTTATGGATGGATTTAATTCTGTGAACAGACCAAATGTGGTGTTTGATAGAGACCAACAACAGGAACCAGCAGTGGGTAGGTGAGGGAAGGTCTCTTTGGGAGAAGAAATTCAAACTGAAACCTGAATGAAGAAAAGGAACCAGGCAGGAGAGGTGATGCTGCGAAGGGCATTTTCAGCAAGGTGCAAATACAAATGGCCCAAGGTGGAGAGAACTTGGGACGGAACTGGACAGAGCATCTGAGGGGAGGGGGCAGGAGCTTGAGACCATGAATTTTGCTTGGACTCCTGTAAGGGCTCAAAGTCATAGAGAAAGAGTAGAGACTTCAAGCCAGTCCTTTGGGAAGTCATAGGTGGTATAATACAGCATAGCATCATAGGAAAGTACAGGCCCCCATCTTCCATTCCTTTGGATCAGATATGTTTTGGAATTCAGAATTTGTTTTGCATTTGTGCCAGGTTGACATCTAACCTGAAAATGTGAAATCTAACATGCTGTAAATTCCAAAAATTTTTGAGTATTACAGTGGAAAATTCCACACCAGACCTTATGTGATAGGCAATAGGTCAAAACACACGTTCACTGAAAATATTGCATAAAATCACCTTCAAGATATATGTACAAGGTGAATATGAAACATGAATAAATATTATGTTTATGACTGGATACCATCCCCAAAGTATCTCATTATGTACATGCAAATCTTTTAAAATATGGAAAAACTTGAAATGTCTTGTCCTTAAAATTCAAATAAGGAATAGTTGGCCTGTATAAATTTATGTCCATACATTAATCCTACATTATATAGTCTCCTAGAGATACTTGGGATAGTACCCTATAATCAAATGCATTAGTATATCTGGGTGAAACTTGTGAATATTCATACTATGTGGGCTGAAGAAAGGTTGTTCACAGACCTCCATCAGTTCACCCAGGGTTTGCTCCTAAAAGAATTCAGGTCTGATTAAGTTTGCCACCAGATAAATTATGGGGGGAAATCAATATTCATAGCTTTTGGGAATTTGAACCAGTAGATGTGAGACTGTAGATTTGTAATTATTCACTCTTTCCCCAAATACTATGGAAACCACTGTTGCAACATTGATTCAACACCAACAACAAATATATATATATATAAATTTTTTTGAGACAGAGTCTTGCTGTACAGTTCAGGCTGGCCTTGAGCTCACTTTGTAGCCCAGGCTAGTTTTGAACTTGTGACAATCTTTCTGCCTTAGCCTCCCTAGTGCTGGGATTGCAGGCGTGTGCCAGCACACCTGACCAATGAATGTATTTTGCAAATAACAAATTTAAAAATCTTTCATCTTTTTAACCCCTTAAATAACAAAAGTTACATTTATGGTATTCAACATGTTTTGGTATTTTTTACTGCTGTGGAATGGTGAAATCATACTAATCAGCATATGCATTGCACCAGGTACTTTATTTTAGAGGGGTGATAACATTTCGGAATTACTTTGTTAATGACTTTCGGTATGGAATGCATTGTTATGAACTATAGTCACCATGTTGTACAATGGATCACTTGAGCTTATTCATATTTTCTTATGAATATTTTTCATAGATAGAAAAATGACTTTTGAAGACACAGGTATGCAAGGTTGAAAAGTTAATAATTTTACCATTTTAATAAAATATCTGGCAAAAACTTAACAGCAAAAGCAGCAGCCAATCCCAAATATAGGCCAGCACGAAGTATCTCAGTATGTAGGCCACCCCTACTCCAGCACCCTGAAAGTGTTCTGAGCCCTTTAACAAACTGCACACTAATTCTTGTTTCAGTGTTCGCCTCTGGGAAATTCAGTCAGAATAATCCTGCTGATCCTGGAGGAATTCCTGATTCACAGAAAAGGTAATAAAATGATTGCTGTTTAATCGTGGGATGATTTGTCATAGCAGTAGGTAAATAAAACTCCTGCTCCAACAATGCCAATGTGAGTGTGTATAATCACACTGCCTTCTGCCCTTTCATAAAAATATACAGGAGCCACTCCACGTAGAGTGTTCTTGCTACAGGCCCCCAGCCCACATCCTACCAGGGGCCCGCAGAGTGTCTGTTCTGCTGATGTAACATTGCCTGGAACCAAAGGTGCTTCTCTTTGTGACAAAGGAAATGTAGCAATGAGTATGTAATGATGAAATCTTTGGTCCAACCTTGAACCACCCCACTGAACAGCCTTAGGCTAATAGTGCATGGAAAACAATCTCAGCTGGAAGGCAAAGTGAGGGCTGATCCTATCCTCTAGCACATGGTAAGTAGCACAAAGCTACAAGTGCTACCTACCTCCGGGTGTGCAGCAGGCATCATGTCCAGGCTTGGGAGCTAGGGTCAGGAAGAGGAATGGCCTGTTCATTGCTCCCCAGGACTTCCTTTGGACTGTCTTTCTGATTTATTTTCTATTTCTCTGCTTTGGGGCACTTTCAGCAGCTGGCAGCTGTGGCTTTTCTCGGCAAGACTGTCCTGGGACTGCTGGAGCCACATTACACAGATAAATGGCAGCACTGAGGAGTTTGTGCTTTCCTGGTGCCATCTGGGAGTGTGAAACTCAGCTCCCTTGGTGTCGACTGGGGCGACTTGGGCTGGATTTATACTCCTGAGTTCACCTGCGGGATCACAGTAGGTCTGATGTCTCCTTTTTGCTTGACTTTGCTTGATTTTAGAGGACCCTGACCTCACTTCCTTATCCAGGGTCATGCACAGAATAAACAGAACAGGACCAAGGTTTGCTACACAGAATAAATAGAAATACAGAGGTCTCAGTTACATTTTAGTTTTAGATAAACACAGATAATTGTTTCTAGTATAGGTATATCATGTGCAGTGTTTGGGACATACACTTAAATTTATTCACCACCTGAATTTCAGATCAGATTGAGAATCCAGTGCTTCATCCGGTAACCCCAGTGAGGATATGAATCCAAGCCTGTCTAATTCTAATAGTTATGCATTTTCTTTTTTTTAAAGATGAATAAATCACTTTAATCTGTAAATAAACTCAATACATACAGCACACAGTAGAAAATATTATTATAGCATGTTGTAAGTGCCCCTGTCTACCTCTTTGTAGTCAGTCTCTTTAGAGGCCACCTGGTAAGCTTTTCTTGTTCATTTTCTAGCAACATTTTCTGTAAATTCAAGCATAACTATACATGTATTTCTGCAGCCAGCTTTATTACATTTACAACTAGTTTGGAGATAGCCAGTTACCAGCACACATGGGGTTGTTTGTTCCTTTTAATAATTACCATCTACTAAACATAGGCTCAGTTAATCTTTATGTGAACTCTTTCATCCATTTGTTCCTATAGATAAAGTTCAGACTACTCCAGTTCACACAAACTCGAGAGACTGGAATTTGTGTACAAATGTGGATTAGCAGCCTGAGCCACCGGATGCTGCTAGTGCAGTGGAGGAGAGATAGTTTGCTTGGTGATGGGGCAACAGTTCAGCAGATGTTCTTTGATGTTGAAAATTATTCCCCCCAATCAGTATATGGGAATTCTTTGAGCAGATCTGAATACGTGTTTGTACAGAATCCTCACAGTAACTCTGCTACCTCCAGAATCTAATAGCCATTTGACAATATAAATATTACCATCACTCCTAAAAGAGCTGGGAATTCAGGGCACTCTACCTAATTTCATCTGGAAATCAGTATATTTTCTCTAAGAGTCCATAATGGAGTGCTGCTACTAACACCCATGAAGGCAGGAGTCTGTTTTAAATGGATTGGCTCTAGGACCAGCAGAAAGGCTTGTAAATCAGTAGGATATCTTGCTAGAAAAGCTGCCTCAGAGAAATTGAACAGATAGGAGGCAAGTTTGTGGGAAGCTATTCAGCTACTAGGTAGTGGAAGGAGAGATTCATTACACAGAAGAACCCCTGACAGATTCATGGGTTCAGGAAGTTGACCCAAGCACATTGCCCGGTACACAGTCAGGCAGAGGGAGGTTTTGCTGACTGAATACATGGTGGGGAATATGGATGATGAGTGTGGGATGCATGAAAGTATTACTTTACACTCAGCAACTGTCATTAGGTTACATATGCTCCCTGCCCTATGTTTACAGTCAGCAGGATGACATGGAAATAGGTGTTATTTAAAAAAACACAAAGATAACTTCAAGTAGAATTCGTATCCATGTTATATATAGACATGTATTATGTATGGCTTATCAGTTTTAAAATTATTTTATTTTCTGCTAGTCAAATGTATAGAATAGATTCTGACATAACTCTCAACAAAGGAAGACTAAGATACTTAAGAATTTAATTAAAAGAGGAAGATTATAGTTTTTATTGCAATATATCCTGTTTCTCCTTCCTCACAATTAATATTTTCACTGATTTTTAAAGCCACCCTTTTGATTTAAGGAAGAAATATCTCTGAGACATTAGACAAACCTGTGGATTTTAAAATTGATTTTGATGGTAAAATTATGATTTGGGAAAAGCACACTAGCATAAGTTAGCCTTCTTATTTTTAATCCTCTTGTGTTGGTATAATTATGAATTATGTGCCTGGCATGTGGGCTGTCACATTTTAGTTTGTAAGTTAAATAAACAATGTGGAAACCAAACAATCTTGGCTCCTTACGTATAAGAAACGTCTCAGCTACAGGATTTACTTTAGTACTTCCTCATGAAGTGCTACTCTAAATATACACTCAAGCCACCCATTTGCAAACAGTGCTTGAATGCCAAGTGAGGAAGTCTCTTCAGTGGGTTAGGAGAGGCTAGACTGCAAAAAAGAGCGACTCTTCTAAAAGAAATGAAAAGAACACATTGATTTCCTTTTTCAGGTAACGTACTGGTTAATGCTAATCTGCTCTTGCTTCTTCTTCCTCTTTCTAAGGTATTTATTCAATGTCTCCTTACCAAGTAAAATTAAAAATGGTAAAAACAATTTGAATTTTCCTATTCCTAAAACTCACTCTCCCATTTTCATTAAACTAGTAACATCCTTCTTGTTCTCATGGGTCATGAGATCAAATAACCCCAAGCTCAGCGTGGTGGGGCTCAGGAAGGTCATATGTCATTTAAAAAGCAAAATCAGCAGAAATAGACACAGAATCTTAGGAGCTTTAGGACTGGAAATCATCTTTAAGAGAATTATTCCCCATATCAAATATTTGAGTGTCTCTTGAACATAGGTAGAACTGTTAAAAAGAAATTCTTAGCTTTGTGAATCCTTAAGTCTTTAAGTTTACTCCTCTTCTACCTTTGAAATACTAAATTATTAATGCCTATCATTCAAACTGATAATGATTAAAATATCATAAGGTAATTATTGGGCATAAACACAAAGTTAACATTGTATGTCACTAGTTAAATTCACAATTTTTTTCACATGAAAAACACAAATTTTCTTTGCTGAAAATAATCCGTTGAAATACCTTTTCTATTTTCTCTGTTTTCATAGCATTGAAAAAACAAACATGATCCCTAGTTTTCTATTCTTGTTTTGGTTTAAATATCAAAAAGAATTGAGTGGAGAACTTGAAAAACATGGTAAGAAGAGAAAATAAAACAAGAAAAGTAAATACAATATACTATTTAAAAATCAAAATTCTGAAGCCATAGGAAAACTTAGCTGTCATCGCATAAAATATCTTCAGTTCATAAGATGAAGAAGAAAACGTGAAAGATTTACACAATTCATCCAATGATATGGGGTAAAAATGAAGCCCCTGCTAGACAATTCTTTTGATTTCTAGACTACAACTGGTGGATGAAAGATCTCAAGAAAAATACTAATGCATCAAGGTTTTTTGCCTTCTCTTGGTTCCTGAAAGCTTGTTTAGTAGGCATTTGCATTTGAGAACTTGGTTTCTTTTTTTCTGCTTCTTTTCTATTTTTTTAATATATCAGTTCACTCCAATTTAAATTCTTTCAGTGCCAAAGCTATTGGAAATACAGTCTGTGTCCACTGAACCACCTCAGTTCGCAATGTCTGAAAGGGATCTGCCTTCCATTTCTTGGCTATTTGCAATGAAGGATAGTGCTATCGTTAACCGAATGTAATTAATAATTCTTGAGTGTTATCACTGGGATCTGGAATGCCCCCCAAAGGCTTATGTGTTGAAGGCTTGGCTCTCAGCTGGTGGTTCTATTAGAAGGGAGTGGCAACCTTTTTAGGTGGGCATTAGTTGGATGAAGGGGGCCACGTTTTATCCCTGCCCTTTTCCTTTCTTTCTGTCTTCTTCCCAGCCACCATGAGGGGAGCAGCTGATTGCTGCTACCCATTTCCACCATAATTCACTGACCGCCTCATCATAGGCCTCAAAAGCGAGTAGAGCAAAAACAATGGACTGAAGCTTCTGAAACCACGAGTCAAAACAAAATGTGTTCTGTCACAGCAATCGAAAGCTAATTCTGAGTAGTTTCAAACTAACTTAAAGGTGAAAATGAGTAACTAAGTTAATATGACACGAGGTGCATGTGCCAGAATGTGTAAAGCCTTGTTTTCAAAGGATGTGACTTACATGCTCAATCTGGAGCTATCTCTACAGCTTTTAGCGGACGTCTAGAATATTCTTTAAATAGGAGACGTCTAAGCAACAATTTTTTTGAAAAAAAGAGTGTAATATTCAATATATGTAGGTAGGGAATTGTGGAACTGATTGACCCAGGATTTTAAGAGTTTCTAAGATGGGTCTCAAAAGGAAATGTTCAAGAGAACCAAAAAGAATAATCACCTATAATTACTTTCAGGAATATTATTTAAGACTGTCACTGTTAACATGTGTACTCATTACCACCTCTCTCTATATTATTATTTTTCCAAGATGCATTTGACCTTCATGCATTTTGTCATTTAATTTAATTTAATTTTTTAGAGGGTCTCGGGAATCAAACTCAGGATGTTATGCTTGTCAGGCAGGTGCTGCACCGCTGAGCTAAATTCCATCCCAACATCATTTACATTTTTTTTTCTTGGTACCCTGGTTTGAACTCACGACCTTATGCTTACCAGGCAGGCACTTAGGCCACTGAACTAAATCTTCAGGCCCCCATCATTTAATTTTAATAGCCCTGATTCCCATTGTTTCCTAAGACACGAGTTAACCTATTGTTTTTATTTAACAGGATTGAAATCTCTTTTCCTCATAGATTTTTCGTATTAGATTTACTCCAAGTCATTGAGAGTTTACTTTTAAAACACAATCCTACATACTATGCACAGTTGTGTCTTCTTGGTTATTCTAACTTAACTGCTAAAAACATTCTTGGTCTTTTCTGAAAACAGAGTTTGTAAAATTACGTAGGTATATGGGAAATAAAAAGATGTTGATGCAGCTGGTCCTCCTGTTTACTGTCTCAAAGGTCTATGGGGTTTGGACTGAGCTGTGGTAGGTCACAGAAGTTCTTAAAAGATTGTTTTCTGTGCTGCTGGGAGGGAAGAATATACATGGATGAACTTCCCTGTTGTCAGTAGTGGCACATTTCCAGATTCCTTAGAATCTATGTTTTCAAAAGAATCATTTAACTCTAGTATGTTCTGTTTTCTTAAATCTTTATAGGTAACTTTAATTTTATTTTATTTTATTATTTTTGCTAGAAAGCAATACGTCTTTTATCTACAATCTTTTCTCCTTCAGGCCATTCCCACTTCCTCTTCCTTGAATATCACATTTCCCAGTTTTTCACCACTAGGTGTCATAAGTATTCACACAAATGCCTTGAAGGCATAAAAATAAGCTTTTCCCTAAAACGTGCCCCTGTGTTTTGACTTTCCATATAAAGTCTTATACTGCTTAGGTCTACGTATTAGCACACATTTACGTGCTATTCCAACTCAGGATAGAAAGATCAAGAAAAGCCTTAAAATCAAGGAAAATAAAATGGAAAAAAAATCCAGAATGGAAACAGGTACCTTTGACCTGTGCAGAACTCAGTGCTCAAGATCTTCGTCCCCAGAGTGTGCTCTGAGGTGTTCTTCAGTCTCAGCCCATGAGATTCATAGGCAAGTTCTTCTTTTAAGGATGGGCTCCAGAAGAGCAGATGGAAAACCCTGTTAGGTGCCCCTTCATCACCCTTTAAGAGGAGACACGTAAGACCAGAACCACTTTCATCCTGCTGGTTTGTATTTTAGGCAAAACGGCTGACACATTAAAACAGTCTTTTCTGATATGGATTTTTGCAGCTATGTAGGTCTTTAGAATGATTAACAATCCTTTGGAGCAGGTTGCTTATCGTCTTGGCAGCAGAGCTAGAGCTCGTACACACGTTTCTTGTCCTCTTAGGTATTATCTTCTCTTATTATTATTCTTGAAATAGATTCATGTACTTATTCTGGAATTTTGAAAGAAAAACCAAAGCCCAAGATAGTCCTTAGTTCAGGAAGCTTCCTTGGTGGTGATACAATGTTAAAAACATCAGAGTATTCATCACTGGAACAGCAGAAAGAAATACACTTTATGACTCTCATTACATGTTTGTTTGCTTGATTTTGTTTTGTTTCTTTGTGATGCTAGGGGATGAATCTAGGTTATTAGATTTTGTAGGTTGACTCATATTTGTTTTTAAATTTTAAAAACAAAAAAGGAAGAATAAAAACTATACAAAATTTAAAACATAGGAAATTAACACGTTAATATATTGAATATTGTCATTGTAAAAGTAGCTGTTCAAATTACAAGATTTGGGCACAAAAAATGATCAAACAAACAATGATTAGTAGTATATTTATCTATCTTGTGTACACTCACGTACACACATGTACGCATATATACATATAACTTTTTCCTTCCTTTCTTTTCTCCTTTCCTCTATCCCAGTTGTTATTTCCTTTGGAGCACTTCCTTTCCCTTTTATTTTCACAATATCTGTTGTATATTTTGGATCTTATTTACTCTTTCAAGTTTTTTTTACACTAGGGAGACAATATGATGTTTACATATGCAAGTTTGATTTATTTCACTTATTACTACAGTCTCTAGTTGTATTCATTTACCAAAAAAGCCTCAAGGTTATCCTTATTCCTGGCTGAGTAATACTGCATTGTATAAAATGCCACATCTTTTGTATCCATTCTTCAATTGATGGGCATTTGAATTGTTTCCAAGATTTAGCTATTACAAATTGTGCTGCTATAAACGTGTGTACATATATCACTGTGGCATGATGTTTTTAATTCTTCTGGGAAAATACCTGGAAGGGGAATAGTTGGATTGAATGGGATCTACAATCTTAGTTTTATGAGGAATCTCCACATTACTTTCCACAGTGGTTGCACCAGTATACACTGCCACAAACAGTGGAAAAGTGTTCCTTTTCCCTTACAGCCCTGCCAACATTTGTTATTGGTTGATTTCTTGATGACAGCCATTCTTTCTGGAGTGAGATGGAATCTCAGTTTTGTTTTAATTCGTATTTCTCAGATGACTAGTGAGGTTAAACATTTCTTCATGTATTTATTTTCCATTTGTATTTCTTCATCTGGGGAGAGTGTGTTCATCTCAGATGCCCATTTTTGGATGGGGTCTTTGAATCTGGGGAACCTGATGTTTTTAAAAATCTTTATGTCTAGATATAAGTTCTTTGTCTGAGTTCTTTTCCCACTTTGTGGACTTTCTTTTGACTCTGTTGGTGATTTCATTTGATGTACAGAAATTTTTTAATAAGATGAGATCCAGGTTTTTGATTCTTTGAAGTATTTCCTATGCAGTTTGTGTTTTGTTCATGAACTCTTTTATCTACCCCTGTGTCTTCAAGATTTCTACATTACTTGTCTCCCAATAGATTTACTGTTTCTGTTTAATATTTAGATCTTTTACTCATTTTGATTTTAGTTTAGTGC